GACGATCTCCAGAAGAACCTTCAGCTCTCGTCGGAGCATGTGGAGGACTCCAGAATGATGTTGCACTGGTTCGGAAACACGCCGTCTTCTTCGCTCTGGTACAAACTCAAATACATTGAATCCAAAGGGAGGATGAAGAAAGGCGACCGCATTTGGTAGATTGCTTTCGGCAGTACATTAAAATGTAACAGTGCGGTTTGGAAATGCAACTAAAATCTTAAGAAACCGACGATGGACCATGAAATTACATATATATCTTCAAAAATCACCGTCAACAAATTGTCAAATAGACAGAGGACCAAATTGTGTTAAAATTACAAAGTTAAGGACTTAATTGGTTGAAATTGAAAGTCGATGACCAATTTGTGAATTTAGCTATAGTCGAGGGACCATTTTGGGTATTTACTCTATTCATAATTACACGTCAATTGGAATTTTTGTAAAAAAAAATAAAAATTTATTTGATTGGTGGAGTTAAACGATACCACTAATAGCACCGTTACTCCATCATAGTAAACAGTATCATTTTGCAAATGTGTACATGGTGCACACGATTGCACAGCATAATCTGCGCATGGATGCGTACGAGGCAGTTGGGTAAGGCCCGAGACTAACATTGAAGAACACAGACGTTATGCCATGGAACCGTGTTCACCATTCATGGTGAACACGGTTCCAACGGTGTTAGTACACCGTTATCTTTTTTTTTTTTTTTCTTTTTTCTTAATTAATTGCGTGACTTTTCTTCTTTATTTTCACATTTTGCGGTTTCACTTTAATTTGAGGTGAACAAAGATTTCGAACATTCATAAATTATGAATTCATGCCTGCACATTCACTTTGGAACCATGCCTACACATTCCCGTCCGAAATCACGGACATTCATAAATTATGAATTCATGCGTGCACATTCACTTTGGAACCATGCATACACATTCACTTTGGAATCATGAGATTATGAATTTTCTGTTATGAGATTATGAATTTTCTGTTATGAGATTATGAATTTTCTGTTATGCGATTATGAATTTTCTGTTATGAGATTATGAATTTTCATTACATTCATAATTTCAGACATTCATAAATTATGAATTCATGCCTGCACATTCACTTTGGAACCATGCCTACATATTCCCGTCCGAAATCACGGACATTCATAAATTATGAATCCATGCCTGCACATTCACTTTGGAACCATGCCTGCACATTCACTTTGGAACCATGCCTACACATTCACTTTGGAACCATGAGATTATGAATTTTCTGTTATAAGATTATGAATTTTCTGTTATGAGATTATGAATTTTCAGTTGTGAGATTATGAATTTTCTGTTATGCGATTATGAATTTTCTGTTATGAGATTATGAATTTTCATAAAATTCATAATCTCATAACAGAAAATTCATAATTTGATCAAACGCGCGCCGTTAACTCCACATCCGCGAAATTTTTTTTTTTTTGCCTAAAAACGACGTCGTTTTGCCTTGTGTTCATCATTCTCGGTGAACACGATTCCATAGCATAATTTGCGTGAAGAACAACAAAAGGCCGGGTGTCCAGGTCAATAAAAAACAAAAAATAAAACAATAATGTTACCTCTAGGAATAATTGTTATATCATGGATAAGTGTTCATATTGCATTGATAAGCTTGGTCTAAAAATTATATCTTTGCAATTAACATATTTTATACGTGCAATTAACAATTTACATACTTGTAAATAAATTGAAGGCACATAATATGGTATTACATACACATAAATTGTTAAATGAAGGTACAAAATATGTTAACTATAGACACATAAGATGTTGGTTAACATGTTATGCATGTGTCTAGATTTAACATATTTTGTACTTACAATTAACAGTTTATGTGTCTGTAGTTACCATGTTATGTGCTTTCAAATTGTTTATAGGTACAGAAATAATTAACTACAGGTACAAAATGTGTCAACTGCATGTAAAAAATCTGAATATTACTTGGACTTGGAGGGGTTAGGAAGGAAGGAGGGATGGTAAGCCCACAAGGCTTGGGAGATGGAGGGTATGCAGGAGAGCTCATAAGGGCGCAAAAAAAAAAAAAAAAAAAAAAAAAAAAAAAAAAAAAAAAAAAAGGCACAGTTGTGGAAAATTAACACAGGACTTGCAATATAGCTACAAAAACAGCACCTAGTCAAGCTACGTACCTTAAAATTTGTACAAGTAAGAGAAATAAACAATACTTATTAGTAAATGGGGGCAAGCGAGTGGCGCGTTATGTGGTGATGACAAGTGAGCGAACATGGTTGATTGTAATTGGACGGGGGAGGGGGGTTTGAACTTTATGTAAGGGTGTCCTTAGCCCTACCCCCTCTCTAACATCTTCAATCAAATCACCATTAGGACACCTAGACTAATGGTTTCTTTTCTAGTTTCTACTATTTCAACAACTAGACTAGGGTTCAAATCTCCGAAAGTCATGATTAATCATGGGTCTTTTGACTTGTGTCTTGTATTTGTTGTTCTGTAAAATTAACCGATTGTGAAATGTGAATATTGCTTGGGCTCAATTCTCGTGAAATATTATTACGGAGCACTATTTTTTACTTGTCCCATTCGATATGTATTTTTACTTCCAAAACCCTTATAATGTTACTCTTCATCAAAATATAATAACATATATAAAATCTTATCCCATATGATCAAAAGATTAAAATAGCCTTTAAGTTTTGAAAATTGAAGCTATAAAAAAGTAGTATTTTTCAATAGTGGAAATAGACGGTTAATTTCAATTTTTGTTTCTTAACTATATTGTGTTTCTCACTTTTGGTTCTTCATTTGTGAAAATATTAAAGTGTCACTATTAATCCTTGTTATCCATTTGAAAAACTGGTGACACACCTTCAGTAGCTACAAATCAAATATTTTTTATTTTTAAACACAATAGTAAAAAGGATAAGATTGAAATTAAGTTTGGTAAAGAGCTATATGAAATCTAATCATTATCAAACATATTAAAATTTGAATTTGTACCTGCCACGTACTAGTACTATTTGGCACTAATAAGTAATAACGAGTACTATTTTGCACTAATCATATCTATACTACCTTGCCTGCCATCCTGCAGCATCATATATTGAAGTATCCTTACACTTGATAAATCGTATAAATGAGTTTGTTAATAAGTTCAGGTACAATAATGATATGAACACGATAATATTAAATACAGATACAACTTATTATGATTAACATGTTAGAGTTTTAAACATTAATATGATTTTTAAATGAGTTAATTTTAATACAATATATGCATATTTAGGGTGTGTTTGGTTTAAATATTGGAATCGGAATGATAATGGGAATCAAATAGGTATAGGTTTAAAGTAGGAGTCACTTTGTTTGGTATGTAGTAAATAGAAACTGGAATAAAAATAAATAAATAAATAATTAATTAATTAATATATAAAAATATATATAATACATATGTTGTGTATATATATTAAAATTCCATATTCAATGCATGGACAATGACCTTTTCATTTGTTTTTTCCTCCCTTATTTTTTATTCCATTCTTCAAAAGTAGAGGAGTAAAAGAATAATGAGTTTTGTAATTACTAAAAGATTTGAATCCAATAGTAGGATAACAAATGTAAGTAAACAAACATGGTAATAGATATCAAAATCCATAGTAGGGTACAAAAGTTCCCAACCAAACACGCCCTTAGTTAATCAGTTTTGGGTGCTCACGACATGATATGACACGATAACTTGTTCAAAGCCGACTAGACATGTTAATATAATTTTTTTAAAATAAAAGTTAATAATTTTTTTAAATATACAATTATAGTAAAACTATTCAACCCTTAACCTGCCATAATATTAATATTAATATCGAGTCTCACCAGCGGCAGTGTGGGAGCAACCTCTCAAAGTGAGGGGGGCTCCTTGTGCGCAGTGAGCACCGGTCTAGCCTCTATGGTTCATGTTCAGTTGAGTCACCATGATTTACATCCTCCCAAATGCTTTGTCGGGCCGGGGTGTGGGGGGCCCTTAGGGTTGGGGTTCAGCCTTTTGGAAGAATAAAATACTATCTAAAAATCATAATTAATACTAATATTAACAAGGTAAATAAGTTCTTAACAGGTTAAGCGAATTGGCCCCTTGAGACACGAATTTTAATGGATCAATTCATTAATGACTTAAAACACGTTAAGACTAAACATCACTTCGTTATTTTCGTATCCAATTTTATGTCGTGTTAATGAGTGGTTTACAAATTGCCAGCTCTAAGTATCGAACATCATACCTAAATCATGTCCTATCCTTTTTAAGCATAATCCGCATGTCCTTAAGGCTTGAGAGGGACAACTTTAAACTTCTTTTAGAAACAAAACGATATGCACTAAAACTGGCAAATCCCATAAACCTACTTAATTAGTAGTAGGTTATCTAATTAATCCACTTAATTCCAAAGCAGCCTATTTTTTTAGGTTTTGTTGACGGCATGCTCCTTGCCAGAAGTACCACGTGGCACGTGCATTTGGTCCGATCCACAATTAACTTTCAAATTAATAATATATAATATTTAAGGCACAAAGTACTGCAACTTATTGACAGCATTATAGAGAGGTTAATTACCCAAGAAATTTAAAGGGAAAGGGGGACCATTTGATCCATAATTGAAGAAGGTAAGACAACTTTTTATAAAGCTCTTAATTAGGGTTAAGAATTTCCCCAAGTCCATCCTCTAATGGCCTTGAACATATCTAGCAAAGATTGACCTAACTTGCACCATCAATAAACATTTGTTTCTTTCACCATGTCCCACGCGCACTCAGATTGATAAGTGTTATATGCTTTCAGAATCTCGATAATGTTACGCTAAGTAGAAATTATGTGTATATATAATATGTAATGGAGGATACACACATATTAAAGAGATTCGTATGTATGCATCATGAAACATAAAAAGTATCACTTTAGTACATCTATTTAGAGACGAGGTTTAGCTAATGAACCTAGACATCCAAGAGAGAAATGTGTCTTTTGTCTGTCTGGAAAATTTTCAGCCAAATACTGTCTTACTGAACCAGTGATTATATTAATTTCTCTATATAGAAACATATATGGTTGATAACATAATGCAAGGCTTTGAATACAGCTCCGCCGGAGCACGGTGTTCCTCCGGTACCGGCGGTGAAGATGGAGTGATGAAGGAGCAAGATCGGCTGCTGCCGATAGCGAACGTGGGGCGGATTATGAAGAAGATTCTTCCCCCTAACGCGAAGATCTCAAAAGAGGCGAAACTGACGATGCAAGAATGTGTTTCGGAGTTCATTAGCTTCGTGACCGGAGAAGCGTCGGACAAGTGCCGGAAGGAGAAGCGGAAAACGGTGAACGGCGACGACGTTTGTTGGGCGCTGGGGAGTTTAGGGTTCGACGATTATGCAGCGCCGTTGAAGAGGTATCTGCATAGGCACAGAGAGATGGAAGGGGAAAGGGCGAATCAAAGTAAGAGTGTTGCAGGTGAAAGAAGTACTGATGAAAGGGAAGAAGAGGAGGAAGGTGCACCAATAATGTATATAAGGGAATCTGTAGGGCAATCCAATTTTTGCCCAACAGCTTCCCGAACCAACAATTTCATGAAGTGATTAATATCATATTAGTCCACACGGGCTGAGCTCAATGATTCAGTATGTAGTATTTGAGGAAAGAGACCAAGGTCCGAACCTCGGCGATGGCAGTGTGAGATTAACCTACATTTGACCCTGTCCGCTGAATTATTGAGTCACCGTAATTTGATTTACATCCTTTCAAATGCTCAGTTGAGTCGGGGTTTGAGAGGCCCTTGAGGTTGGGGAGTTCCAAAATTCCATGTCTAATCTCAGCTGTATATTTCTAAATCATCTCATTTTACGGTAGTTGCTTAACACTTGCATTTTACCAAGTTCAGCGGCAAGGAAATTAGTCCGCATTTACACGTTTCGATCCAACAACAAGATGTTGTTCGTAACAAGTTCTTTTTTTACCTGGTTCATTGGCCAAATTTTAGTATGTGAATTTTTTGAATTGGCAGGAAAACACATACGTATTGAATAGGCAGGAAAACACATAGATAAAAATCGTTCTATTTTCATTTTTTCTTTGTGATTCTCTTTTTTATGATGAGTCTCCACTCTTTTGGCAGAATACCCACACCCATTCTTCTTCCTAAAATGAGCAACCTTTCACAAATAGAAAAGCGCGCGTTGATCTTGAAAGGTACAGATGAAGAAGAAGAAAATGACAAAATAGATGACGAAATAAAACAAGAAATAGAAGAAATAGAACCCCAACCTTTTAGGAGAAGAGTAAGATCATATCGACTAATTTTTTGCTTAATTGTCTACTATATATACACATATGGTTAATTAAGTTCGAATTTGGTCCATCTATTACTGCATTCCTTCTTTTACTTTAATTTTAATTATCAAATTTAAAATGGATTTTTTTGAAACTGTTTTATACTTTCTTAATCTTTTCAACCGGCCTAAAGAATCAATACTCCCATTACTATCCAGATTCGATTCAGTGACTACCTAATGGTAACGAAGGTACCATATATAGTACTTGGCAAAATTGATATTATTTGATTCTCAAGTATAAGAAATATATCAGTTCAAATCCTCTATTATAAAATTATAACTAAAGGTAATATATATTTATACGCAAAAAATTAAGGTAATATATATTTTATAACTGCAAGAGACACATTTCTAATTGTGAATTAATTAGACTAAATATAATCTTATTGATCTTCAACTCATGAATTCAGGTGACAAAAGATAATTATTGTTGCTCAATCACGTTGGTCAGACATACAATTAGCTTGATAATCATAAGGTTCTAATTCTACTTCTAGTGAGAATTATCTTTTGACTTTTTTGGGTTGAGCCGATTAGCTATGGATCATATGTTGCCATGTTAGTTTACCTTCTTGTGGTTATAATTTTTCTTGTAAATCAAAAAGATAATAATTGTCGAGATTGACAAATTCAACCCAAATACCAGATCTTGGCAAATTAAAGAATAAAGATTGTGTTATAAGTACGGATATTACTTTACTGAATTTGGATGAAGCTTTTTGAGTGTCCAAAAATAAATAATTCCAAAGTGGGCTATATTATATTATTACACTAATAATGTAATTAGGCACGAGACTACGAGGGTTGTTTTATTCTCTTATAACAAACATTTTATTTTTGATTTAGTATTATATTTACATATTGATCTGACTCAACCTCATCTCACAAATAAAGATCCGTGAAACTGTCTGAAACAAGTGTGACCCATGCTTTTATTATGCAAATTTATTACTATGCTTTATTTATTATTTAATTTTAAACTTTTTATATTTTAGTATTCCAAAAATAATTTTAAAATTTTTTCAATAATACAATATATTTAATTTTAATTAAAATTTAAAAGTAATATTAAGATGATAATTAAGTATTAATATTTTTTGGTGCAACCGACGGGCCAAAGGCCCTAGATTATCTAACCTCAATCGTTATGTCGTGGAACCGTGTTCACCATCCATGGTGAACACAGTCCCAACGGTAACGCCACCGTTATTATTATTATTATTATTATTATTATTATTATTATTATTATTATTGTTCTCTCTCTTAATTAACAGCGCGACTTTTCTTCTTCATTTTCACATTTCGCGGTTTTACTTCCTCTTCAAGCAAGCTTCTTCAACACTCATAAATTATGAATGTACAGGCATAGATTTATGAATGTGCAGTTATGAAATTATGAATATTCTTTTATGAGATTATGAATTTTCTGTTATGAGATTGTGTATTTACAGAAAATTCATAATTACATAACTGTAAATTCATAATCTCATAACATAAAATTCATAATTTAATAAATGTAAATTCATAATCTGAACATAAAATGCAAAACGCCGTTAATAGCACATTAACTAATTTTTTTTTTCCCGTAAAAACGATGTCGTTTGGGTCCGTGTTCACCATTCATGGTGAACACGTTTCCAGGGCATAATTTGCAATCTAACCCTCTTAGCATAGGGTAATTTATATCGTGCACCAGGGCACACATTGCATTGTGCGTCCTAGTGCAAAGTGGCATCGTTTTCTACTTTTTTTTTTAGAAATTCTGCTTTTACCTGTATGCTATTAACTTCTTTAAAAAAATATCATGTTTCGAATGTACATAATTGTATAACAGAATATACTGCACATACTCTTTTTTTAAAAGATAATACATATAATCTAACATAATACACATAAACTCTTAACATAATACACATAAACTTTTAATCTTAAAAAAAATCACTTGTTTCGAATGTACATAATTGTGTAAAAGAATTTACATAAATATATTAAAAAATGTATATAATTGTATAACAGAATGTACATAATTATATAACAGAATACGCATACACTCTGTCGTGTCAACTCCCCACACAACTTGTCAAAACGACATCATTTTGGGAGGGCGGGGCACACAATGCAGTGTGCGTCCTGGTGCACGATATAACGATTTCCCTCCTAGTCGGCACACTTTGTGCGTCCCAGACTAAGAGGTCCTTGTTCCTCGTTGTCCCCCAAATGCTAACATGGCCTAGATTTGCGAGAAAGTCAACACACTGATTCCCCTCCCCCAAGATGTGGGTCACTCGGGTGTTTTCGACCCGTTTAAGCAGCGCTCTGCAATCCAATAGTAACAACCCCGCTACGTACCAAATCCACATCCGAAGTCCCTGTCACCGCTCTGACCACCACTTCCATGTCCAACTCGACTTAGACCCATTTCTGCCCTTTTTATCTGATCAACATGAGTCATTCCCTGAGGCCCGACAGCCAGGCCCGGATTTTGGGTTGTGCAATCTGGGCTACCGCAAAGGGCCCCAGATTTTAGAGGGTCCCAAATTTTAGAAGCCCAATATTTCATTTTTACCTAGTTAGTTTAGAAATAAAAACTAAAAGTTTTCAATTAAACTTAAAAGGCTCCATGAAGAAATGGTAAGAACATGTGTTTTATTCCATAATATGTCTTTTGGCTTTTTCTTTGTGCACAGTAACATTTTACCACCTTATTATTCTTCCAAAAGGCTGAACCCCAACCCTAAGGCCCCCCCACACCCCGACCCGACAGAGCATTTGGGAGGACCTTATTATTATTATTATTATTATTATTATTATTACTAGTAGTAGTATTTTTACCTGTGCGTTGCACGGAATAATTTGTTATAATCTTTAAGAATATTTTGATGAATATACAAATATAAATTATAACAACGAATATTATATAGTGCAATTGATGAAATGAATTGTATCGATTATGTTTTTCGATATTATCATTGCTTGAATTCGAAAAAATAATTATCCAATTATCCGTGCGGTGCCCGTGCAATGACGTGCATTGCACATTCGGTGCGTGTGCAATGCACGGATAAAATATATTAAATTAATCGAATCCACACAATTGATTTCATTTCAAAGTCTGATTATGTCTCTAAACTTAATTATTGAGATGATAAAAGAAAGATATATAAGGTGCTTCATTTTTATTTATGTAGTGATATGAGTAGCAGAGGACCACATACATATACAACACATACAGTAATATACCAGAAATTGAATGATATATTTGGGGCTCTAATGGCATATATGCATATGTTATAGCTCGTAGGTCATCCCCACCTTGAGCATTCTCTTCTGCGGAATATCAAACACTTTGTAACTCTGCCTTAAATTCCTCTTCATAAAGTTGTAAACATAATTTATCAACAACTTGTTAGCTATCCCAGCTCCCTTCCCCGCCACCACTTCTTGCTCCCCCACCAAGTGCACCACCCCGCTCCGCCACGCCCTATCCACCACCTCAATCTCTCTCCGTGACAACGCCTCCACCTCCTCCTCAGCCGCCGCTTCGTCCTCGCTCTTGCTCTCCTGTCTAAACACGATATCATCTCTTACGAACTCTTTTATCCTCTCCACCAGCAGCCTCTCGAACGGCTCCTCCTCGTTCCTCACGTCCGTGTACCCGTACCTTTGTAAAGGTGAGGAAAATCATATGTATTAATCACAGAAGTACTGGCTATTTATAGTCCAATGATGAAGTTACGAAACTATTCTAAAGGAGAGCTACTGCAACAACCTGAAGACTAAATAATAGAGCAAATATAAAAGGAATAATACAATTAATCTTTAACATACCTGACCACGCAGCGGAAAACGTAGGGCTGGACACGGCGGAACAAGAACCGCTCCTCCACCGGGACTTTACTGATGGGGAGAGACTTTATGGAGACGAAAACCATAACGGAATGAAGAGCCGGCACGTTTTCCACATAGTGTTGGAAGATTGGGGGAATCCCATGAACCAGCTCGGAGTAAAACACCGCTAGACCGGGGAGACGACAAGAATTTGTGTTGGTGAGAATCTCCTTAACCTTGTCCGAAGAAACTTTATGGTCCAACTCGAAATAGTATTTCTTTCTATACACCATGTTCCAAGTGAACATGATGAACATGAGAAAGAGGGCAAATGCGAGGGGGAGATACCCTCCTTGATCAAACTTATACAGTACTGAGCTTAGGTAAAGCAGCTCCACAGAACCAATCACCAGGACGTACAGGATTACCAGGAAGATATTGGTTTTCCAGATCATGATCATGATTAGGACTAGGAGTGTTGAGGTTAGTGTCATCACGAAAACCACGGCGATACCATAGGCGTTGCCGATTCGGGCAGTGGTTTTGAAGCCGAGAGTGACAGCAACGCAAGCTACCATGAGAAGGTAATTGACCTCGGGGATGTAAACTTGTCCCTCGTATTTGGTGGAGGTATGGACGATCTTGACGCGAGGAAAGCAGCCTAAAGAGAGGGATTGCTGGATGATAGAAAATGTGCCAGAAATCATGGCCTGACTGGCAATAATTGCAGCCGCTACAGCTACCCCAAACATTGGCCAGTATACAGATTCTGCATATATATGCATATATGTTAGCATAGACAGACATACAAATGGCATATTGTTATTGTTGGAGGCCAAGGGCCAAGCCTAGCATATGTGGCTAGGTAATTATTGGGCGAAGACTTGAAGGTTAAGTTTAGCACCAAATAGTTAGAGGATTATTAGATAGAAGTCTGAAGGGGCAGGTTTAGCAAATAGACATGTCTGTGAATATGGGGACTATCTGCACCTGGACAGAAAGACCCTATTATGCGTCACTATTCCCTGGGATTGGCTTTGGGCCTTTCCTGCGCAGCTTAGGTGGATGGCGAAGGAGGCCTTCTTTCACGAAGTCCGAGCCATCAGTGAGATACCACTCTGGAAAGGCTAGAATATATTCTAACATTCTATCAGGACCTACGGGTCAAGGGACAGTTTCAGATAGACAGTTTCTATGGGGCGTAGGCCTCCCAAAAGGTAACGGAGGTGTGTGCATGTAGCTAGGGAATTGTTGGGTATGTAGAGGCCTAAAGGGTCAAATTTATCCAGCACCATGCATGTGGCTAGGGAATTGTTGGGTAGAGGCCTGAAGGGTCAAATCCAGCAACCATTTGACTAGGAGATTGTTGAGTGGAGGCCAGAAGGGACAAATATCCAACACCCTGCCTCTAAAAAATGTAACAGTATAAAGAAATTAAATTGTGTTATTGTTACTAACTGTAGCTTTTGGCGTAGTGATAAGTGTTTAATTTTAAGAGTAATATTTAAATTGTGACTTCGCTATTAACTACAACTTTTGGTGTAGTGCTAAAAGCTTGATATTAGTATACTCACTTGGTATTGAGCTGTAAAAGGTGTCAGAAACTAAGTCCTTATGATTCCGAAGGAAAGCAGCCTGTCCGGTGTAGGCTAAGATAAGGGCAGGATAGGTTACACTACACATGCTGATTTGTATGGACCGGACACTGAAGTGACCAACATCCGCAAACAGCGCCTCAGTTCCTACAACCACAAATTAACATTAAAATTCAAATCATACTAAAAGATCGAATCCAGTCAATTACTAAAAAGATTAATAATTCACCAGTTATAGCGAGAACGACGCCACCCAAAGAAATCCAGGCATCTTTCTTGTTCCTCCGGAAGTAGTCAACAATGTACTTGGGATTAACGGCTTTAAGGACGGTGTGGTCATGCTTGGCTAAGTTGTACACTCCAATCATGGCTATGGAAATGAACCATAGGCAAATTATGGGAGCAAAGGTGTAGCCAACTTTGTCAGTTCCAAACCTTTGAATCATGAACAGACACACTAAAATTGCAACCGAAATCCAGACCACGGTATCTGCATTATTCACATCTCAGCTTTTTAAATAGTGTAAAGTAACATTTTTAACTATATATATGTGTGTGTGTAAATATTAATGCACACATGTATATGTATGTATTTATACTTTGTTTAATAACATAGTTGGAGTGTTAGTATGGATTACCATCGGTAAGTTTAGAAGTTGCTTGCTTCAGGCCGCCCACCGCTGACAGAACTGTCCACACAAGTTGAAAATTCTTATTACTTGCCAAGATCAACATTATATAGTGATTTAGTAATAATAATAAGGAAAAATGTCAAATAAGTCACTAAATTTTATTCGAAAAGAAAATTAGGCCGTTAGATTTTTAAAAGGTACAATTAAACTCATAAACATGTTATTATGGAGCATTGAAACTCAAAAACTGGTTGGTGACCTGTAATTACAGGTCACTAGGGTTCCGGCGATCCTCTAACCAATTTTCAACAAGATTCCGGAGACAAACACTAGCGACGACGGTTTGACAGTCGCATGCCGCTAGTGTTTGTTCCCAGAACCTGGTTGGAAATTGATCGGAGGGTCGCCAGAACCCTAGTGACCTATAATTACAAGTCACCAACTAATTTTGGACTTTTTGACTCTTTGTGTTTCAATAGATTGAAAAAAACAATTATAAACAGATATTACATTATAATAGAGTTAGTAGTACTAAAAAAAATTAATACCTGAAATACAAGGAGTGAGGACACCGTCACCGATTACCATAGAAGTGCCAAGCATGGTGGCAAAGAGCAAGATGAATTTAGCTACAGTGCTGTTTTCAAGATAGGATTTGAGCTTAGAAGCTAAACGAACACGATGATTAGGCAACTCAAGTTTGAAGGTGGACACATCTCCATCTTCTGCCTCTTGGCTTGGGATTAACCCCACTTTCGCATATCGGCATATCAAAGAATACATTGCAAACGTCCCACCTGCATAATATTTTTTTCAAAAACAAAAATCAAATATCAAAATGTGATTTCTAGCTTTTTAATTTATGTACTATAGGTACGTAAGAATTGAAATGGTACATATTCTTGTCAGACCGTTTGGTCTATGCATTAATTAATTGAGCAAAAAGAAGTAACTATAAAGTTTTTAAAGAGTTAAATTCAACAGAGTTCCCTTGTTTATTGTGGCATTTTTAAATTTAGTTCTAGACAATTCTCTCTCTCTCTATAGTAGATGATTCACAGAATCATGGACTAAAACAATATCGGTCAGACTAAAGCCAACCGAATGGCAACATCCTGAGTTTTCCAACCGCATTGCAAAATGATTTCCCAACACCCAGAGATCTTCATGTACTTAGTATCGCTATTGACGAAGGACGGTTTGGGACCGGGTTGAAGAAGATTAAGACAAGAGCTAGATGAAAGAAATGGTGCAATCCACGGTTAAAGAGACGAACAAAAATAAAATTGGCGCCGATAATTATAAAATAAAAAGAAAATTTTGAAGAAACGAAAATGGCAAAATGTCTTGCCTAAAATAACTCCGGAAGAAGTCATCGAAAATGGCCAAAAGTGTTCAAAATAGAATAGTCTAAATTGTTAAATGACAAAAACAATTCTCTAGACAAAATTTGAAATTGTCACCAAAGATAAAAACATCCACTGAATTAACTCTTTTTAAAAATTTATAAAATGACTCTTAAGAGCCAATAATTAGTCAATACACGAGGAATATGCCGAAGTATATGTGAGTTAAATTCAAATTTTTTGTCTGTTATTTTTTGTTTTCCGATCTGTTGAAAAATGTTAATTGGTGCTCCGATCCATCCAGCTGACAATTCATAACTTCGAGTCTATATAAAATAGTTGTTAACTATTGATTATGTTTTCCAATACAAGGACAACATAAAATTAAAAAATCTTTGGACCATATGCAACTTGCAGACAAATACCATATTTTTCGTCAATAATAATGCGCGAAATTCCTCGCTAATTACGACCTTTATATTTATGTTGACATATAACATATTCCTAGTAAGTGCGTATAATGACAAAAATAATGCATAATTTTGATGTTAACATATAACATATTCCTAGTAAGTGCCTATAATGACAAAAATAATGCACAATTTTGATTTTAAGTATTCAAATCAAAATATATTTAAAAAAAAATTGAAAATGATAGACGGACAAAGTTAAAGGGTAAAATTATTATTTTAATCAAAACATCATTTAAACCAATTAAGCCACGCCAAGTCTAAAACCAATATGCATCCTCCCCCAAGTAAATACACACCCTACAAGATTACAAACTTGATTTAATTATATTTTATTGGAAATAATGTTATTCCTCGTAATTAGGTACAGACAACACTAATCTATTGGAAATAATGGATCAAGACTTTATTGAGAAATTTGACTAATCTATTTTTTGTTTATAAATCTCAAAATAATAGGCACATATACATCAATTGTTAATGGACTAGAGTTCATATTACATTGTAAACCCGTATAAAAATTTTGTTCCTTCAATTAACACATTTTGTACCTATAATTAACAATTCATGTACATGTAAATAAATAACTTGATAATTGTTAACACAAAATATAATAGCTACAGGTACATAAACTATCAACTGCAAGTACAGAATGTGTCAACTATAGATACGAAATCTGAAGGTTATTTTTGGACCAGGGACTACAATGCAAGGTAGACCCTAGTCCATGGTAAAATTTGCTGATATATATTATAATTTCAATTAATCAACACATATCTCCCATAAAATTTTTTATAAAAAAAAAAAAAAAAAAAAAAAAAAAAAAAAAAAACATCTAAAAAAGTCTAAAAAACAAATTGTTCGTATAAGAACTTTATTAAAATTATTTTTAGTGAGATTTAAACCCATATGCACCCTCCCCAAGTAAATACATACCTAGCTAGATTACAAACATTATTTAATTATATTATATTGGAAATAATGTCATGCCTAGTAACTATGTACAGTCGTACAGACAACAAACACTTATATTATATTTTACCATTAAATGGACCAAGATTTTATAGAGATAAATTTGACAAGTCGTCTTTTTTTTTTTCTTCTTTTAATCTCAAAATAGTGGGCACATATACGTTATAATTTCAATTAGTCAACATATATCTCCTATAAAATCAAAAACTATCTAGAGAAAGTCTGAAAACAAATTATTAACAAGAAAATTTTACTATAATTATTTTAAGCCAGATTTAAACAATAATCAAACTCAAGATTCTTACCAACGGCATGACAATTACCTTTCTTTATGAAAGCCAAAGAATGAGATATATTATAATGAAACGTTAAACAAAGGAAGAATAAAATATGGGCCTTTGAGGGATATATACCATCCTAATATTTAACGTGATTCTAACATGTAATAACTTCATAACGTTTTAATTATATTAGACTATGTTTGCAATATTGTTTTATCTCTCAACATATAATAAAAGAATCGAAAAAGTAGGTAATAGTTACCATCTCCATTGTCGTTGGCACGAAGAACAATGAAGACGTATTTGATGAGTGGGATGAGAGTGATGGTGTAGTAGATCAATGACAGGACACCTAGGATGTCATCATCGTATTTGATCGGATTGGTGAAGGTGCTGGAGTACACATACAAAGGTGAGGTTCCGATGTCTCCATACACCACTCCTATGCTCTGGAACGCTAGTTGCAACACCACTGACCATCCCAACCCCTGCATATATATATATATGTAGTTAAAAACATATCACAATTCAAAATCAATACATATAAAGATTCAAATTCATTAATAAGAATTAAGAGCGGGTATCTCAAAGATCGATTTAAAGATTGAGGACCTTAGAGGCGTGATGGTGAGCGTGTCGGCCTTTAAGCTTGTTGGACTCGAGATCCAGCGAGTCCAATCGTTTCAACTTGAACCAAGAATTTTTCCGGTCTTGAAGCGGGGTGGATGGAATTTGGGAAGAAATTTCATCGGTGGTTGGCTCTATGCCACTGCTCTCACTCTCATCATGGAGGGTTGGCTCAACACTAGACATTATTTTTCTCTCAAGGGAAAATTTACACTAGCATATATGTGCAGATAGAGAGTAGAGTTTTGGTTATAAAAGAGAATGTGAGGTGAGAAAGTGCAGAGAAAGCAAGAGGGGAAAATGCGTACTTATAGGCGGCGCGCCCAAAGAAATTATATATATTGCATTGCATGGTTCTTTGTATTTGGAATGGGTGGGCACGTGGACGCGTTAATTCAAAACTCTCCATCGCCATCATATCATATATTATAGTTTTCCAATAATATAATAATAATGTCCCATTTTTTAGGGATAACATCGGTTGCTCTTCACTCTTCACTATACCCTTTCTCACACCTCTCTCACACGGTGTGAGAAAGAAGGAAAGTAATAACACTCCTTTTAAATTTTTACCATTTTATGTACCTAATTCAATGAAGCAAGTTTAATTTGATGCAAACTTATTTACAATTCTATTTTTCGTACTATTTAATTTAGTATTACTATACAAAATTTATATATTTAAAATTACTCGGTACATTACAAGTATCATTAAACACACACAAAAAAAAATTAAATTTAAAACTTGTATGAAAATATTAAAGAAAATAAATGAGATAATTAATTTGACCTGTGAATAATAAATAAGACAAAATAAGCATTTTTTGTGAATGTATAATATTTTTTTGTGAAATATTATAATTTCATTAAACAATATTATATTTTCACTAATATTTTTTAAGCAATCGGTAATGATTTTTAATAAAAATGTAATACTTGCTCTAATGTGAAGAAAAGTATTATAATATTTTCTTTAAAAAGAAACACATTGGACATTTGACTTGCTCTCAGGTGGAACGATCTCAATTTTCCTAGAAGAATAATTGTTTTTTGCATAGTTTTTTTTAAAAAAATAACTAGAAAAGATATGTAGTTTTCTTTTTAAAATGACCCTTCTAATTAAGTTCTAATAGAGGTGGATTGGGACAACATAGAAAAAAATATGTAATTAGCATAAATTAGAAAAAAAAAATGTAATTAGCATAAATTAGAAAAAAAAATAAAATAAAGAGTTAATGGTATTTAAATTAGATGAATAAACATTTTTTTGAAATAATAATAATAATAATAATAATAATATTATTATTATTATTATTATTATTAATTATTATGTATGCATACTTAAATTTGAATATATATAAATTTTATAAAGATATTTTTTTTTACTTTTTTTCATTCATTAATTTATCTAACAATTAATTAATTTTATCAAATACTTTAATTTTAATCATAATTTTCTAGCTTAACTATTTTTATTTTTTAAGTACATTTTTAGTTAGACTTGCTGAATAGAGCTACATTTCTACAAAAGGTCTCAATTAAGGACATAATAAACCTTCATCTATCACTTCATGACATTCAAATATGCAGTAGATTTGTTATGGTATTATTATTATTATTATTATTATTATTATTATTATTATTATTATTATTATTATTATTATTATTATTATTATTATTATTATTATTAAATTTGAATATATAATTTTATAAAGATATCTATTTTTATCTTTTTACATTTATCAACTTATCCAATAGTTAATTTTATCAAATATTTTTAACTACAATATGCTAGCTTAACAATTTTTAATTTTTAACTTTTAACTAAATTTTTAATTAGGCTTGCCAAATAGAGCTACATCATTACGAAACGTCACAATTAAGGACATAAACCTTAATCTATCGCTTCATGACCTTCAAATATGCAATAGATTTGTTGTGGTACATGTGCTGTCAGCACAATGATTAAGGAAATTAACGAGAATCAAAGCATGTGTGACCAACAATTTTTTTTTTTTTTTAGGAATATAAGGCTTATATAGCTAGGTTATATATAATTGGGTCATCTAAAAAATATAATAAATTGCAATTGAATCTTTAAACAATTTAAAATTATACAATTAAACCTGAAGTGACATGTAATACCGATCGTTGGTTAACGTGGCGATAACCTTTTGACAAACTAATTTTAAATATATTGTAATAATTTTAAATAAATTAAAATTCAAGCACCCCTCCCCTCTTCATCTCCTGCCGGAGACCAAGAGTAATGGTCTTCATTTCTAGCCAGATATGAAGAACTTCATCTCTAAGTTGAAGATGAAGCTAGAGTTTCTTTGTCTTCAACCGGAGACGAAGGTCTAGTTAGGAGACGAATAGTTCTATGGATTGTTTGAACCTTTTTTTTTTTTTTTCAGGTTTCCTGGCCTATAAATGTATATTTGTTGTTGGCAAAATGATTTTGTACCAACAAAAATTCTGAACATTTCTACTCCTACGTACTGTAATTCTCTCTAAAACTTTTTACCAACTTTGATCTAAAAAAATATTATTGTATTCTCTCCTTGTCCAGATCATTGAACAATATATTCGAGTGCTTGAATATAGTAGTGTAATCCATTGTATCCTGTAAAACTGATGTTTCAACGCTCCTAGCATATATCCTCGGAAAAAATAAATCAATTTTAAAGAAATTAGATACTTGAGATTAACCGTGATATACTTATGGAATTTTTGAAAAATTTTATTTCAATTTGTTGAAAATTCCTATAGTTTTGCAAAGCTAGTAAGAAGCTGACGGCTAAAGCATCACCTTGCCAATTGGCTAGGCGAGCCCGCCACCAACCTCCTTTTTCCATCCTTTTTTAAATTGTTAAAATGTTGTTGTTGCTTTTATTATTTTTTATTATAGTATATAAGTTAAAAATAAATTAATATTTAACAAAAAATGTGTATATTAAATTTAAATTTTGTATTTTGTATTTGAATATTTATGTAATTTATGTATTTGAATTTTTAATTTTTTTAAATTTTAATGATATCAATGTTATAAAATTTTAAATCTTAATTAATTTTGTTTTTCATAATTTTTAGTTTAAGTTACAAATTTTTACATAATACAAATTATTTGATCTCAAGATTTTAATTTTTGTTATTTTTAATATTTGTGAGTAATTTATATTTTGATATAAGAAAATAATTGTGAAAAAAAAATTTGTTGATAAATAAAATAATTTGTTAAGATTGATGTGAAAGTAGAATCACTTTTGAAAATAAATTTTGATTATATAACAGTTGATGAGAAAATAATAGATAATTACAAATATGATAATATAACAATAGAAGGATGAGAAAATATTTTCGAAGATACGATATTTTATTAAAAAAAAAACATAAAAATAAAAAATCCTAAGCCTAAAATAAAGGGGGAGTGCAGGCCCCATATGAGGATGCTTTTCCTCATTAAAAAGCCCCTAAAAGTGTGGAACTTTCAAATCAGAGATTACTGTTTTGTACACAAGAAGTGAAGAAGATGGAAGGAAAAGGATATATTCAAAAAAAAAAAAGGATATCACGTGCGTGTTAGTTGCCGTCACGTGTGACATTTGTGCACTTTTACGCCAAAAAGTCAAATGTATCACAAGCGTGGTCCAGTCAGCCGTGATTTTAATTTGTATGTTATGACAATATGGCATTATTAGTTCGTGCTTGGATACCATAAGGCAATAAGGGTGCTTTTAATTTAGATCTTTATTTCTTAATTTTATATATGTTTAAGAATTTTATATTATTTTAAAAATCCCAGAAACTAAACATGAAAATGCCAAGCACCTTGTACTCAGATGGCATGTAGTGACATTTCCCATGTGGGAGGTCATGAGATTGAAACTCAGACTCTTTGTGCTTCATTATGTTAAAAAAATATGCTCGAACAGCTACTACAATGTAAAAGAGTTGGTAGCATTCAAAAAAAGAAACATGAAAATATTAATTTTTTAAATAATATGAATTTTTTGAACAGGCATGTAATCTGAACTGAGAATTAATATATAAACTCAAGAATCATTTTAACTAAATTGATAAATTAAACATTTTAATTTTAACATTCTTTAATTATTAATTCACATCATATATATAATTATCCGATCCCACCATAATTAAATATAGTTGTATTTGTAAATTAGATTAAAAATTAATAACACTCACCAAAGAATTAATAGTGTAAATGTAACAACGTTGAAAAATCAAAATGTTGCTCGGGAGTCACATTCACAATCTGTAGATGTTAACAGTACATGCATCTTTCCACCATAGACACTTGCAATTTGTCTAGACACCAAGTTGGACTTGGAAAACATTACTATTTTTCTTTATTCTCATTTATCTGATTTGGTACATTTTAAAGTTAGAAAAAGTGAAAAAGTGCATTTAAACCAATTAATTAAGTCTCTCCTACTTGTTGTGATAGCAGACTCTGAATGCTCTCTTTAAGGGTGATTAAGAATAATCTTGTTTGGCTCTAATATCAAATTGAAGCATGTGTTCCTATTGAAAACATTATTTCTTATTGAAGGACAAAGAGTATCAAATTGAAGCATGTGTTCCTATTAAAAACACTTTATCTTATTGAAGGACAAAGAGTAAACATTGTCTCTACTGAATATTGAACCCACAGCCTCCTATAGTCCCATATAGGGAGCAATTTAATGCCATAAACCACAATATCCTGGGCACAACTTATAATCCTAAAAATTAAAGGCTATGTCTCTTCGGCACTTCGGGATATCTGATAAAATTCAAACGATACAAATTAAAGAATATTAATATGATTCTTGTACAAAGGTAACCAAAAAAAAAAGAAGAAAAAAAAAAGTCATAGGTTTAGTGGAAATTTTCATAGGTATTATAGGCAAAAAGTCAGAGGTTATGTGGATATTTTTCATTTAAACAAATGTTTTATAAACAAATATCTCAATCTGATATGTACAGATGCAAATTCGAATTCGTCTCCTTAATTGTGTCTTCTTCCTTCCTTACATTCCCACTTACTTAGCATTATAGCAATTAGCAATTTGCGTCTATCCTTTTTGACTGTCCACCACTATAATGCAGACCACATATAATTACCTTTCTTCCAAGGATAATTACCTTTTACCTATGGATTTTACCAAATTTATTTGATTTCTTTAAAAAAATTACCATTAAAATCATATTTACAATATTACTTTTTTGAGTTGATTGTCAAAATTAAAGTAGATGG